ACACACACACACACACACACACACACACACACACACACACACACACAAAAGAAACAGTAAAACTGCAGAAACAAAACCGTTATGATGAAGGAGTGAGGTGGTATTGTCACGTACCGGTACTTTAAGATAATTGCAATCAAATAAAAAGGTGTCATTAATTATTGACTGCATGAACTGTACCAGCCTCCATGTTAAATAAAAACACCACAAACGTTTCCTCTTACTTTATAAAACGTGATGATGTGACCTCAACTTTGTCAAATCGAACACATTCAAGTTAAAATCCCCCAAATGTTAATCACATCACAAGTCATTGATTATATTTGTAGTAAATTCATATTTCTGCAGTCAATGTATGTTCAGTAATGATCTGTGTGTGCAGTCAGCAGACTCATGACTGATAGACAGGAAACGATGCAGCATGTGATCAGTGAGGCTGTTTGTAGTCTGATATCAGCCTCACTGGGTACATCTCAAGTCTCTAAATTCTCATTTCCTCGCTCCTCGATCCTCGCTTGAACCGGAAGTTGTTCCGCCATATTGACAGCCGTCCCAAAGCTCTTATTTAGATCGGAGGAGTGAGGATGGAGGAGAGAGGAGAGAGGAGGGAGGAGGGATCTCTGAGGAGCCATGGAGGACCCACGAGAACAGACTTCCAGGAAGTGTTTTAACGGCCGACACGCCCCCTCATTGTTCATCAGTCATGTGATTGGACGCTGCAGCCGATCAGACTGATGAGATTGTTTTCAACATGTAAACAGTGAAGACGGATCACAGATTAAACTCTAGTTTATATTTGATTCGTTTATGATTCAACATCTGGTTTAAATAAATGTTCATTGTAGACTGAACAACAAAAGGACCACAAACAACTTTCTGCATTTATTAGAAAGATTTGTGTTTTCATGATCTGATGTTGAAGTTTTTCTTGTTTTTGTCGTATTGTCATAACAAATATTCCCCTTTAATCTACTCTTCTGTGATTGACTGAAAAGGAAGGAGACGTTTAAAAAACAGTCCTGTTGTTAAATGCAGGTTCAACTGTCTGAATATAAATGTAACATCGTCACAATAAGTTTTAGATGAAGATTGCAAATACATTTAAAAACAAATTTGTGTCTATTTCTCCAGAACTCCAGGCTGAAGGAAATCACACATCAACAGGTAAATAGAGAAAGAAAAGAGAAACAAAGAACCAGTGAAGCAGAACCAGAAGTCAAGTTATAGTTTGATATTTTATTAATTCAACTCATTTCTTTACTGACGACTCTCTTGTTTCTGTTGAGAAGCTGTCAGGTTGGTGGGAGGAGACAGTCGCTGTGCAGGAACACTGGAGGTGAAACATCAAGAAGACTGGAGACCAGTAAATGTCTATGACAGGACCCTAAAGACAGCAGCTGTTGCCTGTAGAGAGCTGGACTGTGGCTCTGCTGTTTCTATCAGAGAGAGAGAAGAGTCCTCAGAGATATCTGTGTGGTGGATCGTTTCTACATGTGTTCATTCAGGATCTGCTCTGAGAGAGTGTGTAATATCACATTCTTCCTCCATCTTGGATCTCATCTGCTCAGGTAAGCCCATCAGTGACATCATCTCTGACAGCAGTGTTTCCAGTATGTTTCTTCCTCTGTCACAGTGACAGTCAATGGGTTTCCATTGGACTGAACTGTAAAGTTAACCAGGACAACGACATCCTGAAGTGTAGAGAGGTGGCTTGTTTCTGGAAGCTTCAAACCCTCCTTAGACTGCTGAGCTCCACCTGGAGGACACACCTGTCTGTCTCTCTGTCTGTCAGTCCTCTGACATCACGTGCTTATTCAGGGTCCATCTCGTTCAATGGAGGGTAAACATGAACTTTCATCATCTCTCTTTGTTTACAGACCTGCTGCTTCAGCCAATCATCACTGTGTCCTCCTCAATGTACGGGGTCTCCGAGGCCCAGCAGCAGGGGGCTCCGATGCTCCGGCGCTCCACCTTCACCATCTGCTGCTCCATCCAGCCACAGTACCTAGGAGGCTCCTTCCAGCTCACCTTCACTTCCTCCAACTCAGCACACAACTACACCCAGCCAGCTGTCAATCACTCTGCCCACTTCCTGTTTCCTGCTGTAGAGCCCGCCCACCAAGGAAGCTACAGCTGTGTTTATCACCTCTATGTTTTTAATCATAACTTCTCCTCTGAGAGCCGTCTGCTCTCTATCACTGTCTTAGGTAAGCTGACTGTTTACATGCAGGTTTGAAGATGATTGGTCCAAACTGACTGAAGATGATCAGCTGACCACAGAGTCCATGTTGTTGTTTCTAGAATGACACTGTGACTCCTGTCATTGTGTTACACATGTCATATAGTAACCAAACCTCAACACAGTCTGTAACAATCTACTGTAGGACAGAGCAGGTTTGGATACCAGGATAACTCTGGTTCTCTGAGAACTGAAGCAGCTTCTGAGGTGACCAATCACAAAGCTCCACTGCCACCACATCAGTCATAACACCCCTTAGTCATAACTCGCCATTTTCAAGTGTAGTTCCTCCACCAATCAGAAGCAAGAAGGGCGGTGTGCTCCGATACCTCACTCAGAGAACCAGGGTCATCCTGGAAACCAAACGCTGAGACGGTCGTTAACGTGTTA